CCACTCCAGCTGCACACTCACTCTGTCCTGCTCCTCTGCCATCACAGCGTAATTATTTCACTCGCCTAAACCAAATAATCCCTCACTCCCCTTCATCGGTGAGGCAGTGTACAAACACTGCATCCTTTGACAGAACAAATAAATAAAAAGCCACCGGGACAAGGTGACAGCTTTTAGCTGCTCCGCACTGACACAAGGTATGGGAATGACAGCAGTGAATGGCGTGGCCGACAGCCCCCCGCCACTACTGACGGTATAAACATGTAAATGAAACACATTACCGGTGACAATCAATTGTCTACGAGATCCCCTCAAACCCCCACCCCCAACATCCCACCCTTTTTACCCCCCCTTTCCCTTCCTCTTGTTTACTGACTATGGCAGAAAAAAAATCTGCCCTCTCTACTTTAGGGACAATCTGGGTAAGAAAGGAGGAGGGAGAAGAGATTTTTTTTCTTTTTTGCTGATGAGAAAAGGAAGTAAAGAGGAGGAGGAAGAAGAAGCACCTTCTCTCTCTCCCTGATTTGTGCCTGCTGCAGTAGGTGCTGACACAAGTTTGAAAAACAGAGGCATAATAGAGATGGAGAAATTGTTTAGACTGGCAGAAATATGGCATTGTCTACCTCTGAAAGCAAGGCTGACCCCCTCCTCCCCCTGCCTCCCCCTTCCTGCACACCAACAGACGTGCACTCTGCCCTGTATTCCTCCACCTTAAAGCATGAATTTGAGATAGTCCAACAGTAATCACCACATTCAGACTGTTTTATCAAACTCCTGCAGCCACAGAGAGACACAGAGGGAGACAGAGAGTGGGGAGTCTGGCCTCACCCCCCACTCCCTCCCTCCCCGACATCTTCCTTTACCGCTGCCCCAGATTATGTAATCAGTATGTGTCCTAACATTGAAATGCCATCTGAGACCAGGAGAACAATTCCAAAAGAAAAGAGAGCAACATCTGCATGTCCTCTTTCATCCCCTACTCAGACTGAAGCTGCCAATTTGATGTTGATGGGAGTCTGCAGAACATCCATGCAAAAAAAAAAAATAATAAAGATTTCAAAGCTTTTCTGTTCTTTTTTTCCCACGTCTAGAAAAAGCAGCCTGTTTTTGATGCTCGTGTCGGCTGAGAACGAAGAAAATAAGGACAGGTGTGCGGCTGCTTTTTTGTTGGGCGCTCACAGCTGGATGTGACAAGCAACACCTGGTAAGGGCCACATTTTCAAACACTTCACGCTCACCGAGATCAGGTTTCCCACCATGAGAGGTGAATGGGTTTTGTTGCGGTTAAACAACGGGGAACAGGATGAGAAAAGAAGTATCGTCGGAGTTTTTAATATTGCTTCCATTTCAGAGTGGGATCGGGAGAGAGACAAAAGGGCTTTACAGCGACATGAAGAGGGGAGGATTGGGAAGAGGAAGGGGGATAAGTCATGCACTGTGGCGAAAAATACCACATGACAGACTGGTCAGAGAGTGAGTGAAGCTACAGTAGCACCTCGGGCCCTGGAGGCCAACATTCATCTGGATTAGAACGTCCTAGGTTCCACAACTTAGTGTTCAAACGCCTCATTAATTAGAACTGACACTTAAAAACATTATATTTTATAGCGTACACATGTTGAAAAAAGCTTATTTTTACATGCAAATAATGATGAAAAATGTTTTAAGGAATTAATCATTTTAAAATAAAGTTAAATCATATGCAACTGCACACGTTTAACATTTGTAGAATTTTTTTTCTGTTTTGTTGAACGGTAAAAATTAAAAAAAAAATTAAATATATTTTTAAAGAAGTCCCTGAAGTGTTAGCGTATAAAAAGCCCCATCCCCACGTTTAGTTGCGGCCAAGGCATTTCTTTGAATCCGAGTGTGTCCTGCCGGCTGTCACACTCTTCGCCCTGCCCTATCATCACTCCACAGAATCAGGCAGGAAAAGGACAGAGAGACAGGCAGAGAGACGGAGACAGGAGAAGAGGAGAAGAGGAGGAGAGGAGGAGAGGGTGGAAGGGAGGGGGCAGAGGGAGAGGGCGCGAGAAGAGAGTGGCCAAGCCCCAGTGAGCCTCGCCATTCCCAGAGGGGAGAGGACCGAGGGGTGAGGTGGTGGAGGGGGTGAGGATGAGGGGGTGGGGTGAGAGGTTATTGTTATTGAATATTAAAATTTCATAATTCGCATTTTTAAATAAACAATAAACTCAACTTATTCCATCTATTTACTTTAGGGCTCGTCTCACATTTCCCTGTATGTAGGAGCGACTACATTTTTATTTACTGCAGATATAAATATTCTTTACACATTCTGCCAGGGCTCGCTGTCTCTTGTCAGGTTTAAGGAAATGTGTGAAAATTATATTTGCTTTGCTAATATTATTTTATCAAATGCTAGGTTTTGCTACAAAAGCCCAGACTGTCTTTCTCCTTCTCACTCCTGCTTTTCGTAAAACAGGTGGTCACAGCTAAACAGGCTGTTGTCTACTTCTAACGTACATATATAAATACATATATTTAGTTATAGGTGTGTTTTTATTCTATTTTCCCTGTTTTTGTGTGCAATAAAAAAACCTGTAAATGTATATGTACAGAGCTTCACTGTACTGCTCTGCTCCTCCTGCCTGCATGTGCTATTTAGTGTGGAACAAAATGCTTGTCTGCTATTGATTGTGTGAAATCAATAAATGAAATCTGATCTAGATAAATAACCTGTGGGGGCAGAGATTTAAAAACTGTTGTGGAGGAAGCAAATAAAAATAAGTCTGAATCACAGCCACGCTATTTTACACACGCTTCTCTCTCCCTTCCTTCCTCCCAGTGTGTTTACAGCCTTTATTGGAATAATCAGGAATAACGGGGCCAGGGAATGTCACTGCAGATCTGCCTGCAGTGGGGGAAAGAAATCCACATATCTCCAGCTCCAGCTCTCTGTCCATTTTCCCGGACGTGTCATCCTATTTATACACATATATATGTGGCCACTGCGTTTTCAATAAAATTAGTAATAAGAAGTGAGAGAAAAAGGGAAGAGAAAGTGAGCTGCCTCTGTCACCTCCTGTGAAGTATTTCTTCACTCTGCTCCTGAACACAGCGACACTTTACTTCACAGAAAACAAATATCAGGGCAAACCTAACGAACACGGGGTGTGGGCTGAGACAAGTTACGACCTAAGTCATGAGACAGGACTTTAAAATCCGAGCAGCATGTTCTCAGTGATCGCCCATGGCTCGACTCTGTCCCGGCAGAAACCAGCCGGCACCGCTTCGCTACACAACTTTCCAACACCCCCAAGTTTCCAGCCAACTCCTCACAACATTCTAGCCGTAGTCCACTGACAGATTAACTCCAACATTCTATTTTAGCAGGGTTCTAGAGGCAGCGACGCTGCGCGTTTACGCACAGTTCCACTCCTGGATAACGGTCCCTTTTCTCCCTGCGTAAAAATATCAGAGCGAGAGGAGCGCACCAGCCGCGGAGCCACACACACACTGTCCCGAGCGGCGAACACAGACTCGCATCCCATCCCTTTGCTTTTGTCTCCCCGGTGGTTTTCTTACCGTTTTTCCGTCGGGGGTTGGCTTGTTTTCGCCTCTTACACCTGGGGCCATCCGCCATGATCTCTTGCCTCATTGATAAGTGCGTGCGGGATCAGATGGCAGCTCGCATGGAGTCGATTCCGTCTTGGTTTTCAAGCCTTGTCTGATGTCTGTCTGACGGGAAACACACACACACACACACACACAGGCAGCGACAATGAGGGCATTAGCACCGTGATCCAATCCACTCCACTCTCCCCGGACGCGGACAACAAACTGAAAATGCAACTTGGATGGAAAGGACTGATTGTGGAAAAAAAAAGAGAAAGAAAAAAAAAAAAGAACGAACGAATAGAAAATTAGAGCCGTGGGTGAAAGTATGAGAATCGGTGTCCATCTAATATTGAATGTCAGCTCGGTGGCAGTAACAGTAAACAGTACCAGGACTGGGACAGAACCATTTCCCCTGATGTTAAACTTCTATTCTTCCTGAAAAGCGCTGCTTTAAACACCACACACTTGTGACTTCACTCCCAAAAAGTTGTGCAAACTCGTGTGTATCTTTATCAGCAATAAAATACACATTTATTATTAATATGTATCTTCTTTACATGATATATCTATGACGAAATGTATTTTTTGACAAGTTTAATTTAAGCGCTTTTGTCCGTCTCCTGGAACCGCCGTGGAAACAGGTTGACAAATAATTATATTCCCTCTCATATTTTTTTATAATTACAAATGGTTTAAAAATTAAAAGAAGTTTAATCAGATTTAAAGTCGAAAAACTTCAGAGATCACTTACCTGCGCAGAAAAAAACGGTTATTTTAGACTAAATAAAGTCAAATGTACTGATTGTTCCTGAAGAGTTAATAATTAATTTGAAGAAAAGAGGATGGAAAAATAAAGAAAAGACGCGTCAACAAAAGAGGTTCGACTGGTCGCAGCATCGTGCGAGTGGTTGTTGAATGTTTGTTTCGATTCTCCCGTTAATTCATCAGCGCAAATACCGTTATTTGGGGAAGTGAATATTGACAAGAGGTCTGTTTGTTGTCCGTACTTCGGCTGAATTATACAGACGGTATAATAAACGGTCTTAGAGTCTGGAGAGAATTTAGGACTCAGAGTCACAAAGTGGTCGCGTGCACGTCGCCTTGTTTTCCCCCACAAAGGACAGCGGCGTTACGCGGTGCCAAACGCCCTGCGAAAGCCACCGTTCCCCGGGTGTCAGGGAGCCGCAGGACGCCTCCACACACCCGGACGGTTTGCGCTTTTTTTAAAAAAAGGGGGAAATGTTTGAAACAAACGCACCTAGTTTCCCACCTGTGCAGGTAAAGGCAAAGTTGGAGGCTCTAACTCCGAAAGAAAGTTTTTGGTCCAATATTTTTTCCGAAGCAGAAAAACAAAAACAAAACAAAAACCAAAAACAGAGGGACACGGGTAAAAACGGCGAAGAAAGAAAACGTACCTGCTTTTAAAGAGGAGCAAAAAGAGCCGTGTGTGGACGGGAGTAGCGAGGAAAAGGTGGCAGGAGGATAATGATGATGATACCGGAGCAGCGTCGGTGAGCGGATCCTGTTCCACCGGTGATAATAAAGCCTTAGAAATAAAGCCTTAGAAATAGTTGGGAGGAGGGAGGGACCGCTATTCCTGCTAGGGCAGGTTTACAACTGATGTCTTACACCCACTCCAGGAAACAAACCTGGGTAGGGACTGACGTGTTACGCCTCTTCTAATGACATTTCTTTCTCCTCTTTCCACCTCCTTTTCTTTGCCATGTAACACAGAGGAGGAGAAGCCCCCTGAAACGCACGCCACCTATCTTCACGGGAGGGGATAATTGAGGAGAGCCAAACGTGAGCATCTTCTGGGCTGAACGTGAAGTTTTTTTTTTTTCACCCTCCCTCCTTCCCTCCTTCCTTCCCCTTCTTCATTCTCCCCCCTCTCTCGCTCCCTTCACTCTCTCTTCTCTTTCTCCATCTCGGCTCTTTTTGAGTGAAACCAACTATGTCGGACTTCGACTGAGGAGCAAAGAACAGAAGACACTGTATTTTTCCCCTTCTTTTCCTCTTTTGGATGCGTGCATTTCTATGTGTGTATGTGTGTTTGTGCGTGTGTGTGTGTGTAGTGAAGAGGGGAAGAAACTTGGAGCTCGTCCACGCTGTCCGCAGTCATGTAAGGATTTGTTGTTATTAATATTTTTAATTCGTGTCTTTCCATTGGTTTCCATTTGCAGAAATGTCACGTTGTAGACAGGGATGCTGCGCGAAGTGAAGCGGAAGTCCGGGGAGAGTCACTGCGTCTGTCCGGGTCCTTACTGTAAATTCTCAAATAAGTGTCATTTCGTGTAAAACATGTTTTGTTGTTTTCATTTTTGTCTTCGTCTCGGACACAATTTTAATTCAAAATTGTACTTTGTTTTTAATTGAAACAAAGTAAAAAAAACTAAATTCGTTTTTGTTTTTCTGCAGAATTAAGCAAAAAAAAAAATCAAATCAAAAGTCCTTCTAATTCTGTAAGAAACGAGAACATTTGTTCTAAAAATTTCAGCGTGATAATAAAAATGATTTCACCAGCTGTAAAGTCAGGCCTTTACCTGAGGCATGGACGATACCTGTTGGTGTTCTACTGCCTCTAACTGTAACAAATATAATAATATATGTATATATATTTCCACACCTTATTTCAGTACAAATATTATGATGTATGTGTCACTTGATAACGTATACATATTTCATGTTCAACAATTGTGCTCAAAAAGGGGTCAGGAATAATTGTCGTTGTTACAGACGGACGAGCTCTGGTGGGAAAATAGCGGCGATAATAAAGGAGCCGCGAACGCACCACAGAAGTGCAATAAAGTGAGTTTTCACAGTCACCACTGGGAGACATAGTATTAATCCTACCGGCTCCCGTAGGATTAATACTCTGGGAATATCATCGGGATAAAACAACCTTATTGCAGTGATTTTTTTCCCCCAGTTTTCGACGGCACTTAACAGGGAGTATTACGCATTTATTTAACCAAGTCAACCATCTAAGCCATGTCAGACTTGGAAGAGTGAGAGTGGGAGAGGGAGTGAGGGGGCGAGAGAGAGAGAGAGGGAGAGAGAGAGGAAGCTCCACCTTTGCTGCGCCCTGATTGGCCATGTAAATAAAGTATTATTTTGCCTCCTGTCCTCCTGCAGTTCGAGACTGTATGGCTAATTAAATCATCAATCAAGAGGCTGAACGGTTGATGTCCGCTCCTTTACAAATAAATAAATGAATGAATAAATAAAAGAAAACGAAATTAGATGAAGGAAAAGAGAAATAAACCCTCACCAGGAGCTTCTCTCTGAGACTAAACTTTTTTTATATAAAAATCTCACTTTCGGCGATGTCGGGTTTTTATTTTCCTATTTGTTATTTCTTTTGTTTCTTAACTGTTTTGCTCAGAGGGGGCAGAGCAGGACGCGGCTGACCCCGGGTCAAGGTCTTTTGGATGCGTTTTTTTGTCGGAATCCGGTTGTGGCTGAACCTTTGTTGCGTGTAATTTGGGCCGTGCGCGGCGCGCACAAGAGCACACATGCACACGCGCACACACACACACACACACACCTCTCCCTGTCCCATTCATCCCTGATGTGAGCCTGGTGTGGCACCTTTTTACGCACGCCGGGCTCCGCTCCGTGGGGCCGCGTTTTCACCGTGAAAACGGATTACAGTGGCACTGTGACCTATGGAGGGATCTCCAGCGTTAATGAATATATTGATTTAAATGAGGGGTTAACAAAGACGTGGGGTCACAAGGATTCGTGACACTGTCGAATTCAGATTTGAAAGAAATCCCAACAAGTTTTTGTTTTATGTGATGCAGATATGAAATCATCAAATATAATTTACCTGTCAAATTATATACCTCTCCTTGTATTTATTTACCCAATAAATAAATTGACGTTTTTACTGCACATTACCTGCTTACTGGTGGTTTTTTTTTCCACACAAAAATCAATATTTAGAAAATCCACTGCGGTTTAATGCTTTTTAGTGTCCAACACCTTTAATTGAAGCTCTGCAGTTCTGCATCTGTCTGCCTCAGGCATGACTGCTGATTACCCAGATTATAATCCTAATTTTCTCTCTGCCTGCCTCAGTGTGTGTGCATGCATGCCTATCTGTCTGTCTGTGTGTGTGTGTGTGTGTGTGTGTGTGTGTAGGCCGATGTAAGCTTCTAGGCAGTGCAAACACATAAACACAGTGGTGCAGTGGGGTTAGTGGAATGTTTCACAGTATTATAAGAATCTGTCAGTCTAATTACCACTTCACTTTGTACTGTTCAATAGGTTGCTCAGGTTACACACACCGCTGCTGTATATTGAGTGACCTCTGTCAGCTGCTATTGTAGGACCAAGTATTTCAGCGGCATGCAGACGTTTATCACAAAAGCACAATTTCAGTGACATGATCTCAGAATAAAAGAGTAAAACAAACCTTTTCACTCTTCAGTCAGTCAGACAGACAGTCTGAGCGGGGACAATGGCTCTGCCTGCGAAAAAAACAAACAAACAAAAAAACACTTAAGGGCCAGAAGGTCCTGCAACAAAATGTCCAGAAGAGTGCAGAATTATCTATAAGCCACTATTGATAATAATAATAATATATATTATTATTATTATACCAATAATAATAACAACATCAATACCAATAATAATAATAATAATAATAATAATAATAATAATAATAATAATAATAATAATGTGTCCACTGAAAACCAAAACCTGGATTAGACGTTGCTTTAACTGCAGCAGTGTTGTGGGTAATTCAGCAGCAGTGGAGGTCACCGACTGTATCTGTGTGTGATGTTATTTTTTGCAGCCCTGTTTTTCATACAATAAAATAAGATGGGAGAGACATGGTGCGAAAGAGAGAGATAGAGGGAGAGAGAGAGAGAGCGATGCCACAGCCAAAGATGCCTGCGGACTGAAACACAGTTGCATGTTCGTGTTGTGCATTCAACGACTCAGCCGCCAGGCGTCTCTGATTATTGGCCTAATTTAGATCAGCCAGACTCACATGGTATCAGAATACACGGAGTGATGAATACATGTTATGATCTAAAGACAAATCTAACCTGGTCGTATCAGTCAGACTTGTGCTAAATAAATATAAAAAAACCAACAACAACTCACGTCTGTCTGTGAAGCCTCCTCCTCCTGCTGCATCAGTCTGATGACTCCAGGACTCAGGTTTGTCCTGGGTTCCAAGTGTCTTTCATTTTGTTCTTAGGTAGAGGTTCACTGTGTACGGAACAAAAGGAGTCACAACGTGTCAGGGTTCCAGACAGGAGAACAAAGGTAGGACAACAGACATTTTTTCGCAGTGTGTGATTCCGACTTTGATGCCTTTAATGACTTGCATTCAGTGAGGTTCCTTTTTCCTGAAACTGTACTTTATAAATTCTGCAGTAAAAAACAAAAAACAAAAAACAGTCAATGTCATAAATAAATGTTTAGCAAACAAAACCAAGAGTTACTGTGAGGAGAACACTGAAGCTGAAGAAGGTCAAAGCCTGGGTAGGATGGATGGAGGCCCAGCACTGCTTTCAGTTAGCAGTTAGCAGTTAGAAGTTAGCATGAAGATGTTCATTGTCCTTGTTGTCAACAAAGTACGTTATGAGAATATAAATATTAAATACTCGTACTAATGATCAATCAGAAAAAGTTGCTTCAACTCTGATTATTTCTGACTGTGAGCAGGGGTTTGTAAATCTCAGTCTCAGCTCTCAACAGAAGTAAAACAAAAAACAACTGTGTTCTCAGTGTGGAAAACATAGGTAACAACAATGTCCTAAAAAGACAGAGCTAAACCATTGGAGAAGACTGTTGAGAATTCTGAGAGATCAGTTCACGGACTCCTGTTGCCTTCACTGACCTCAGTTAATGATGCCCTAAACTTTCACCTTCAACTTTATTTTCGTATCTCGCACTGACAGAGACTTACAGAAGTGTGTGTGAAAGTTTCAACAAGCTGCCTCCAGTCAAGAGACATGGTGTAAATGCAATTATTAACATTTCATGCTACGTAGAAAACCAAACAAAGCTCTCTGGACCAGACAAAGGGTCCACAAAAAGAACAGAGGGACATTTTTGAAAACACACTCACTCTCTCTCTCTCACACACACACACATCTACAATTCAAAACAGTTGTCAAGTGACTGCAGCTCAGCCTCTGGGGTTTAAACCCTACAGTTTTTCTTTAAGCCACAAGAGAAACTTTTGGCTCCTTTTTAATTAAAACAATGGTTGGTGTAACTTTGAGAGGTTTTGAATGTGTGACAGAGAGAGCCATGGTCTCCTACATCACATCTCCTCTCTTGGCTCCTTCTCTGTGCTTGTTTGTGGCTCCTTCCAAGCTCAGCTACATCAAACCCAACACCCCCCGCCGCCCCCACCCTGGATGGGGTTTGGCTCAGTCTGTGATGGCCACTGCAACGGCCTCTGCCCTACAGCAGCTCCAGAGATGGACGGACAATTAAAGACAGAGAGGCGAAGAAGCCGCAGCTTGTGATCTGCGAGGACTCCTCCAAACATGCAAAGAGAATTTAGTGTACATTTATTTGCCATGAGTGCGAGGGAGCAGGGGGAAAACCCTCTTCTTCTCTGAGCACTTCTGATCTCTCACAGTCGGACAAGAAAGCACGCAAAGAGAACAAGATCGCTGCATAGCAGATTGCTGCAGAAACAAATGCTGGCATCCAAAAAGTATTGATTTTTTATGTTGCTCTTGTTAGCTGAAAACTGAGCAGAGGTTTCTACAAATGACCACTTACTCTGCCGAGACTCTTACACCAAAACTACAAATATGTGCTGCCCCCCCTTCTCCTCCCCCCTCTCCTCTTGAGGTCAGATCTCATCAGCCTTCCAAAAGAAACTCTCACACTTGTTTAATCTTGTGGGTTTTTTTTTTCTTTTGGAGTCAAATGAGGAAGTGTTTTCATGTATTTTGACAAATTAGTAGAGCGCATGAATACCCACACAACACATACCTGGGAATGAAAACTACTACATCGGTATCAAAATGTATATATAGCTAAGTTCAAAGACTTAAGAAAATTAGTCAATGTTGAAGTTAAGAGTTGTCCAAAAGGTGAGGCTTCTTATTGATCACCATGTGTTTTATGAGGTTTCTTCACACATTGTTTGACGGGCCCTTAATACAGATGTCGGCCATCGTTACTGCTGCACTCATGGAAGTCCTTGAAATAAGTTTTAATATGTTGAAAGCATTAGATTCAACAGTAATAAATAGTCATTACAACCAGGAGAAAGAACACAGTGCGCAGTGCTGTAATGTGATATATACAGTGTGTGTGTGTGTGTGTGTGTGTGTGTGTGTGTGTTTGTCATTCATCTGCAGCCTCTGTACCAGCGTCACCTTAAAAAGTCCAGCATTTGACAAATGCACACTGGTAGAAATTATAAGGAAACTTTTTACACCCAGATAAAAAAAAAGAAACACTTCTTATTGCAGCCTGAAATTAATAATTGACAGCATGTCGGCTGAATAATTTATCAAACATTTGAATAATTGTTGTAGCTCTAATCTTGACATACATTTGCATATCGGCATGCTCTTAATATCTGCCTCCATATATGTGAATTTAAAAATCCTCTCAGGACACAAAAGATGGAATTAAAAGATCTGACTTACATCTGCAGAAACCTTGCCCGGGCATGAGGAAATTCAGATCTTGTGGATGTGTTGCAGAGAGACGCAAAAAGCCAACGGACCCCGGCACAAACAGACGGAATCAACTGCAAACGAACGTCCAAAAACTTTATGACTTTAGCCTTCAAATGGATACTGTAAGATCATGGTAACAATATACAGGAAATTTGGCGTGAAGTCACAGAGAATAACAATCCGAGGTTCCAGACTGAGCCACATGGCAGACATGATGAAAACAAAATGCAAAGGCAAGCAAACATATCACAGAATTCAGACCAAAGACTTGGAATAAAAGTTTCTTCACTTCGTTTGACTCATTACCTGGTAAACAAGTGATGTCAATCCACCAAACATCGTCGGCACATGAAGAAGCTGCCGTCTTCCCAGTCTTTGCTTGCAATTGTTTAAAAGATCACTTACTGTAGCACAAATGAAAAAAACATGTAGTTTCACCAACTGTGGCAGAAGTTTACAGGGGGAGTCAGCTTTGAACCCTTGACCTCTTCTACAGAGACTCCAAAAGTTTCAGCTTTTGCTCGTTTGCGCTTTCAAAAGGTTTGGCAGTATTTTTCCGCAGTAGCACAGACAAACATTTCTGTTTCATCCTCGGAGAAAGTTTATGGCCCTGCAGGACTCGGAGGAAAGTCAGGTCACGGTCTGCTGAATTCACTGTACGCCCTGCACTGCTCATTTTTACAGAAGTAACCGACCCTTCCTGCACTGTCATCCCTGGCATTTGTTATCTTGATGCTCAAAGGATTTTGCGGAACATTGTTGTTAATGTTCCACCTAACAATACGGCCGACTGTATGTTACGGGCAGACTTTAAATGGCTCTCGTAGGCTGGTGTATTTGTCAGACGCCGCCTCTACTGTTGAGACACTGTTGTCCATAATTGACTTTGACAATTAGGGCATCATCACAGCGTCCAAGTGAATCACTTAAAGGCTAATTTGCATGTCACGTTACAATAAAAAAATAGAAGGAAAAAACGGACAGTGAGAAAACATATCCTATTATTGTCCACCCTCCTTTCTATGGATCTTCCTCTTCGCTCTGTTTTTTTTTTTTCCTCTATGCCTTGTAAACTGTAATTTGTACACTGCTTAGGGGGAACCTGGCAGAGGAGAGGCGACCGACATTTCCATTTGAAAAGAGGCAATCACCAGGCCACTGCTGAGCCTATTGTCCGGAGGTGTCGGCGGTGGCGGGGTGGCAACAATTTACAGGCGATGGAGTTAACCTTCTGTCGAGGTGTATTAA